AATAAATAAATAAATAAATAAATGGGCAACTCAAGAAAATAAATCTATCAGTCTAGAGAAAGAGTAAATAGTAAATCAAAATCCCAAAATTTCTTCATTAAAAAAAAGGGGCAAGACTGATGGTTAAGGCAGCTGGATTTCACATGGCTGACTCCACAGTTTGAGTCCCAGACCCAGCAGATTGAAAAATCAAGCCAGGCATGTGTTCATGCATGCCCAAAGTCCCAAGAGGCAAATGGAGAAGGGCTTACAGAGCGGCCATCCCCCAAAAGAGTGTTTTCTTTCCTTCTCTCTCTTTTCCTCTTTCTATCTTTCTCCAGTGAGTATACATGTTCTCTAGCAATTTTTTTAAAGGATATTTTTTCTTTATATTTGATACCATCACATTTACATGTTCTTCACAAAGAGGCCACAAAAAACTACTCTCCCCTGGGCCAGTCTCTTAGGCTAGTGGTTTAGTGAGCTGGTCCCATGCGGTCAACTACAATTTGAATCCTGGCACTGGTGACTTGAAGATCATGTAGGGCCTGGGTGCACGCATGCTCAGAATCCCAACAGGATGGAGAAATAAAAGAAAATGTGGCATGACCATGCCACATTAGGGTGTGCTTTATCCCTGTCTCCACTCCTGTACCTCTGTCTCTTTCTCTAATGAGCATATGCACCCATTAGCAATTAACAACAAACAAAAACAGAAACAAAAACACAAAACTACCCTCTACTGACTATGGAACTATCTACATCCCCAACTTAATTATTCCATCATCTTTCTTGAGGCAGAAAATAAATGTTTTCAGCCTACCAAAGTTTATTGAGAGTACCTTTAATTATATTACTGCAACATTATAATATTAAAATATTATTTTATTCTTATAAAGAAACCTAGCTGAGAATAAACTCCAAAAGAAATTGATGTTTTAGTCCAGTAGGGCGGGGCAGACAGGTAGCACAATAAAAGTCTTCTCTTACCAAAGGACAATATAGAATACTAGTTTCATGGAAGTAATAAAAACACAGCAACAGGAAATCAGCAAACGCTGTATCAATAAACATGAGGTGAAGCCAAAAATTAAATGTCTATTCTACAATTTTTACAGTAGGCCCTAATAATGCAAAAAGACCAATGCACCAATAAAAATGTCCTGCATATTACTTTGAGCTGCTTAAAAATCCTGGTCTAGTATTGATAGATCTTAACCAGGGCATCTCGGTAACAACTTATGCTCAACATTAAAGAGTTAGTTCTTCATCCACTACCTACTCTCAAAGCTAGCCTCTGTATTCTAACAATATCTTTTCAAATTCACCTTATCTTTTAATTCTACCAAATAGCCAATCAATGGCAAAATCTTCCTATATATTTTTTTTCCTTTAATATCCCTCCTTACCCACCCCTTTCTTTTCTGCCATCATAGATGTGGGATTTCTATTGCAGCACAAACTCTTCCCCTGAAAGCAACCATTCCATCTTGCTGCAAAGTTCTGAGATGGAATATTCTCTCCATTCCACTGAAGTCAGCTTCCCGGGTGGTTTCCAGGCCACAGCAGATAATTTCCCACACATGGGAAATTATTTTCTTCATGCAGTCTTACTTCCTGGTTTATCATTTGACTGTTCTTTTACAAGTTTAAAAGAATTGTGTCCACATCTAATACCCAATTAATGTCTTCTCACTGGGTCTTTCTCGTATACGCTTCTTGATGTACTCAGCTCACCATGTACTATACATTTACTAAGGAAACTCCCAATATCCACCTTCTCCAAAAATTGTTAAAAAGGAAGAAGTAATACTCTCCTCTCTAGTTAAATATGTTACATTTTCTTTTCAGTCAATTCACAATGTAATTGTATAATCCCATTTTATCCTATGAATTTTTATCTAATTTTGCATTGTGATGATACTCTATCTTAGGATTTGGGTTTTTTAATAGATTTTTATTTGAGAGTTTTCTGTGCCTTGAACAGAAAGGTCTTCGCACAGAACCCAGGAAAAAGAGGTATGTAAACACTTAAAGTTGTTTATTATTACAACAGGAAGACAAAAACCCACCTGCCCATGCTTTGGCTGAGGGGCCATCCCATGAGGTATGTCAGGATGTAAGGAGGACTTAAGATCAGCTCCTCGTGTTTTGGGGCGCACCACTTCGGAGACCAGGCTGGAAGAAATTGGTAGAGACTTGGGTCGGACCGCTGTGGTGCCTGTTCCTCCTGGGGAACCTTGTTCACCTCTTCTGTTTGTATTTTCATCTTCCCCTTCAGAGTCCACGATAAAGACATATTCAGCTTTAAAGAGATCACCTTGCTGCATTATTTGAGATTCGTTGGTTTTCAATATCCTTCCTTGTGAAATCTTCCCACTGATCTCTGAAGGACAAGTTGAAGTCCCTTGTTCTCTCTCTTGTTGGCTCTCAGCATTCAAGGTCAAGTAGTCACTGAAATTAGACTGTAATAAAATAGAGAGAGAAAAAGATGGCGTTAGTTTGATAAATGCTTTTTTACACATGTACACTTATAAGCTTAATCTGCTTATAAAGAGTTTTTCTTAAATATATTTAAAAATCAGGTCTGTCTGAGAGAGGTCAAGTTGAAATTAATGGTTTAGTTTTACTAGCCCACCTGCTTGCCCTGGACCCAAACCAAATAACTTAGGACTCCGAATCAACAATAACAAGCAAACAGTTTATAAGTAAATCATGGTATTATTACTTTTGTTTTGTTTTTTGTTTTGCTTTGTTTTAAAGAGATTTTTGCTATAGGATGTGTGCACTCACCGAAGAGACAGACAGAAAACAAGAAATCTCCCCTCCCCTCAAAAGAGGGTATGGCTATGCCGCAATCCCTTTTCCCCCACTTTCCTCCTGGGATCTTGGGCAAACATGTAAATGTGCCAGGCCTGAGTTTTAAGCCACCAGGTCCAGGACTCAAACTGTAGTCAACTACATAGGAATCCAGTGACATAACATTATACCATCTGCTGGTCCCCATGGTATTATTTTTCCTTTTTTTTCTTTTCCTTTCTTTCTTTTTTTTTTTTTTTTTTTTTTGGTCGGGGGGGAGGTTTTTGCTATAGGGCGCATGCGCTCACCAGACAGACAGAGACAGACAGAGAGATAGAAAGCGAGAAATCACCCCCCGGGGGGATGGTCACGCCGCAATCCCTTCTCCTCCATTCTCCTCTCGGGATCTTCAGCATGCACGCACACGTGCCCGGCATGAGTTTTAAGCCACCGGGTCCAGGACACGAACCGCGGTCGACTACATGGGAGTCCAGCGACATAGCCATTACGCTAACTGCTGCCCCCCCCATGGTATTATTTTTAAAATAGAGAGAAAGAGACATTTTCCATGAATGTATTCATGAAACAAATGGAGATTGGTCAAGAGTTTAACGGCCAAGCAACCTACATAACATTTACGAACCAGGGTCAGGATAGAGAAGGGGGTTCCCACTGAAAAATCCTAAGTCAATATAAATCTCTGTAAAAATCTAAGAGAAAATAAAATAAAATGAAATAAATGCATATATAGTCAGGAAAACAATCAAAGTTAACAGGAAAGAATATGTGAATAGGAAACTAAAAACGATACTGATATTTTTAGTATAAAATATTTGCACTGTTAGCTTGCTTTGGATTTGTAATTCTAAGTCTTTTCTCATCCAATTTTCTATGAATACACAGGAGGTTTGCAAGACTAGAACTAAAATAGCTTTATCAAGTTTCTAACTTCCATTTCTAAAATGATAACTGGCATGTATACTAAAGATTGTATTAAAAAGACTCAACGTCAATTTCCTTATTTTGATAACTATACTGTTACTATGTTTTTCTGCAACTTCTCTGTAAGGCTAAAATTACTTCAAAATGAAAGTTAAGCCACTAAATGCACTAAGAAAAACCTAACAATTTCAACTATGGTGGTGAATTTAATGTGTGCTAATATGTACACATTTAGGGTACAGGTGTGTATGTGTGTGTAGGCAGATGACATTGATTAGATACAACTAAATGAAAGAGTTGATTGTATTGGATTGTCAGAAAAGTCATGATGCATTTTTGCATAGAAAAATACCTCATGACTTTCCCGACAACCTCATATATATCTATTCTACACTATCCAACTGATGATAATATAGTCAGGATAAAACACAAATTTCCTCAGATAAGGATTTCTCTTTCTCTGTTCCTTTGTGTCAATGAATTACTTTTCACAGCATTTCACCTGAGACTTCTTTTTATATCTTTCAGGTTTTTTTTTTCAGTGTCTGTCTTCCCAATAACAAACCATGTGAGTCTTTATTCACATTGAACTCAAGCACCAAAAGCAAAGCATATGCTGAGTATATGGTTGTTAAAAATAAAAATTAGTGATAAATTACCCTATTCTAATATTGAGCTGTTAAATAAGGAAAAAACCTTAAACCTTTAAAAAATGTGGAGATTATATCTATATATATATATATATATGTTTATACACACACACACATATAGTTGCAATTAGCCCATGAACACTCCCATCTTGGGTAGTTTTGGAGTTCTCCAGCAAGATTGGTTCATTTGGCCATAGTCTCACACTATGTATAGGACCTGGTAAACACAGGTCTTATGAATGTATTGTATGTAGCTAAGTGTTGTAAAGGAAAAACTTCCCAAAATAACATTAATAGTATTCAGGATTTTTCTAAAATCATTTGTTCCATTACTCTTTGAAATAAAATAGCAGCGCTAAAAACACTGGAGTCATGAATTCATTGCTACTTTATAGATAAGATGTTTTCATATAGGCAAGGTAAATTTGTTTATTCTATTCCCTTCCAGCTGTCTCATAAAAATCACAGTTTGCCCAATCTCACTTTATTTTTAATAATATTAAAATATATCTTAAGAAAAGTTTTGTCCAAAATTTCATCATTCTAACACAAATCAGTTTCAAATTTTTTCACTTATTTAATTTCATTTCCCTTTTTTTAAGAGAGATTTTTGCAATAGGGCACATGCAGTCACTAGAGAGAGACAGAGACACAGAAAGTGAGATATCACCCACCCAAGGGATGGCCACACCACAATTCTTTCTGCTCCATTCTCCTCTCATGATCTTGGGCATGCATGCACATGGCCCGGCATGAGTTTTAAGCCACTGGGTCCGGGACTCAAACCATAGTCAATTATATGTGCGAGTCCTGCCATGTAACCATAATGCCAGGTGCTGGTCCCTCATTTCCAAATGTGGTCTAATTTTAGATAGGTATAGTCAGGGTATGCAAACAATTTTATAGCCTGTTTTATCATCTAATATTATAATCTTAATATATTCCATGGAGCAATATAATCTTTATAATGATAACTTTCTCAAGGTTATATCATTTTTTTTAATTTTCCTGTAATTATGATATATTAGGGCTTTTTTTCCCCTAATTATTTTCCAATAAAACTTTTTTAGCACTATTTCCTTTGGATACATTTCCAAGAGAGTGAAGATATTAAAAGATTAGAAAAGTTTATCACTTTTATGACTCGATAGTTATAGATAAGGGTTTTCCACAAAAATATGCAAATTTATAAAACTAGCAACAAAGTGTGAACACTATCATATATCCACAACTGTTACAATACTGGGTATTGCATTTTTAATGTTCCTGAATTATTACATAGAAAATAACATCTCACTATTTTATATTTTCTTTCAATATAAATTTAAGCACTTTAATTTTTTTTTGTATTAGGATACATTTTGGCGAAGGTGACAGGTAGCAGAATTTTTCATGTGAATGACAAACAACAGGATGTCAACTCGGAAGAGTTGATAATACTGTATTAGCGAGAACCTGGGATTTAATAACAAACAGATTCCTATTATATAATTATATTTTAGCCAACCTTAGCTTTCAGAATCTTCTCACTTTAAACACAGGAAATAAACCATTGATATGAATTTTCAGGCTATTATTTTGAACCATTTAATATAATTGTTTAAAATTTTAAAGAAAAGAATAAAAATAATCCTACCCTATTTATAGTTTCTGGACTCCTATCACTTGTTTCTTCGGGAATTTTAACAAGGAATTTAGAAGTGTCAGCCAACTGATTGTGGGTTGGTAGTCTTCTGACAGTAGGGACAAATGTGAAGATCAGAGGTTTGGCTTCAGAATCACCAGAAGAGACCTGTGAGATACGTAATAAATTAGACTTTGTCTTGTCAAAGGTTTATCTTGACCTTATTCTCTGTATACCATGTTTATCCCATTTATTTTGATAAACTGACCATTATCCTGTGATCATGTGTATGACTGCCAAAGTAAATAGCTATTAAAGTCAAGTATATCAGAACCTTTTTTATGACACCATTTACCAGAAAAAGAAATACAACTTCAAGAAAATTCTATGTACCAGACAGCAGCAAAACAAGTTTGGCAGGCTGATCAGCTGAAATCCACCAGAGCATCTCTACTTCAGTGAGGTCATCACAAACACAACCTCTGGTCTCAGTTGCAGAAGTGACTTTATCCACCTACCATCGGGTTGGCAGTTCCAGTGTATTGGTGTATTGATTCGTGAGCAACAAGCATGCAAGAAAATTTCAATATTTATCATTAACAAGAATGTCAAAATATAGATTAAAAATTTAGAGTATACATATGAAAAAATGCTCAACATTTCTCATCATAAGGGGAGATATATCAAAACCACAATGAGATACCACCTAGTCCAAGCCAGAATGGCAAAGATTAAAAAAAAAAAAAATGATGTGCTTATGGGGATGTGGTGATAGGGGAACTCTCCTATACTGTTGGTGAGAATATAAATTGGTCCAGCCACTATGGAGAACAATATGGAGATTCCTCGAAGATCTACAAATAGAACTACCACATTATCCAGCAGTTCCACTCCTGAGGACAAGGGAATGCTCAATCAGAAAAGTGCTTGCACATCTATGTTTATTGAGGCATTATCACAATTGCTAAAACATGGAATCAACCCAAATGTCCATGAACAGATGAATGGATTGGAAAAGTGTGGCACATATGCTCTATGGAATACTACCCAGCCATAAAAAAAAAAAATCCTGGCATTTGACAGAAAGTGAATGAATATGGAAAATTTACTGCTGAGTGAAGAAAGGCAGGTTATGAAAGAGAGACATTGTACATCTATACTTAATATATAACAACTATCTATACTCTATGGCAGAAACTGAAAGATTACAGGAAAAAGAAGCATGGAAAAAGGTTATAGATACTGGAGACAGTATGAGAAGAAGGTGGAAGATGGAGGGAAAGTGTGAGGAAAGAAATTAAGGAGAGAAATAGAGGGACAAGATATTTATAGGACACGGAAATGGATCATTGTCTGTTGATGATAACATGTGTAGTATCCTTTACTGGACTGGTATGAGGTGTATTCATGTTGGGTAAATCCGCTTTACAAGCTAAGTGATGTATAGTTATTGAATGTATAAAGTAAAATAAATAAAGATCTCATTAACAGCAACAAAAAAAACAATTTAAAGAAGAAATACATATCACAAAAGAGGTCCAAGATTGATACAAGGAATAGATTATCAAAAATTTTCTCAAAACGGTATGTAAAAACATTAAAGACATCTTAGATAAAATTTAAAACATATCAAGAGTATGCCTATCACAATGCCATTCCCTGCTCTTGAGGACACAAATTTCCTCAGATAAGGATTTCTCTTTCTCTGTTCCTTTGTGTCAATGAATTACTTTTCACAGCATTTCACCTGAGACTTCTTTTTATATCTTTCAGGTTTTTTTTTTCAGTGTCTGTCTTCCCAATAACAAACCATGTGAGTCTTTATTCACATTGAACTCAAGCACCAAAAGCAAAGCATATGCTGAGTATATGGTTGTTAAAAATAAAAATTAGTGATAAATTACCCTATTCTAATATTGAGCTGTTAAATAAGGAAAAAACCTTAAACCTTTAAAAAATGTGGAGATTATATATATATATATATATATATATATATGTTTATACACACACACACATATAGTTGCAATTAGCCCATGAACACTCCCATCTTGGGTAGTTTTGGAGTTCTCCAGCAAGATTGGTTCATTTGGCCATAGTCTCACACTATGTATAGGACCTGGTAAACACAGGTCTTATGAATGTATTGTATGTAGCTAAGTGTTGTAAAGGAAAAACTTCCCAAAATACCATTAATAGTATTCAGGATTTTTCTAAAATCATTTGTTCCATTACTCTTTGAAATAAAATAGCAGCGCTGAAAACACTGGAATCATGAATTCATTGCTACTTTATAGATAAGATGTTTTCATATAGGCAAGGTAAATTTGTTTATTCTATTCCCTTCCAGCTGTCTCATAAAAATCACAGTTTTCCCAATCTCACTTTATTTTTAATAATATTAAAATATATCTTAAGAAAAGTTTTGTCCAAAATTTCATCATTCTAACACAAATCAGTTTCAAATTTTTTCACTTATTTAATTTCATTTCCCTTTTTTTAAGAGAGATTTTTGCAATAGGGCACATGCAGTCACTAGAGAGAGACAGAGACACAGAAAGTGAGATATCACCCACCCAAGGGATGGCCACACCACAATTCTTTCTGCTCCATTCTCCTCTCATGATCTTGGGCATGCATGCACATGGCCCGGCATGAGTTTTAAGCCACTGGGTCCGGGACTCAAACCATAGTCAATTATATGTGCGAGTCCTGCCATGTAACCATAATGCCAGGTGCTGGTCCCTCATTTCCAAATGTGGTCTAATTTTAGATAGGTATAGTCAGGGTATGCAAACAATTTTATAGCCTGTTTTATCATCTAATATTATAATCTTAATATATTCCATGGAGCAATATAATCTTTATAATGATAACTTTCTCAAGGTTATATCATTTTTTTTAATTTTCCTGTAATTATGATATATTAGGGCTTTTTTTCCCCTAATTATTTTCCAATAAAACTTTTTTAGCACTATTTCCTTTGGATACATTTCCAAGAGAGTGAAGATATTAAAAGATTAGAAAAGTTTATCACTTTTATGACTCGATAGTTATAGATAAGGGTTTTCCACAAAAATATGCAAATTTATAAAACTAGCAACAAAGTGTGAACACTATCATATATCCACAACTGTTACAATACTGGGTATTGCATTTTTAATGTTCCTGAATTATTACATAGAAAATAACATCTCACTATTTTATATTTTCTTTCAATATAAATTTAAGCACTTTAATTTTTTTTTGTATTAGGATACATTTTGGCGAAGGTGACAGGTAGCAGAATTTTTCATGTGAATGACAAACAACAGGATGTCAACTCGGAAGAGTTGATAATACTGTATTAGCGAGAACCTGGGATTTAATAACAAACAGATTCCTATTATATAATTATATTTTAGCCAACCTTAGCTTTCAGAATCTTCTCACTTTAAACACAGGAAATAAACCATTGATATGAATTTTCAGGCTATTATTTTGAACCATTTAATATAATTGTTTAAAATTTTAAAGAAAAGAATAAAAATAATCCTACCCTATTTATAGTTTCTGGACTCCTATCACTTGTTTCTTCGGGAATTTTAACAAGGAATTTAGAAGTGTCAGCCAACTGATTGTGGGTTGGTAGTCTTCTGACAGTAGGGACAAATGTGAAGATCAGAGGTTTGGCTTCAGAATCACCAGAAGAGACCTGTGAGATACGTAATAAATTAGACTTTGTCTTGTCAAAGGTTTATCTTGACCTTATTCTCTGTATACCATGTTTATCCCATTTATTTTGATAAACTGACCATTATCCTGTGATCATGTGTATGACTGCCAAAGTAAATAGCTATTAAAGTCAAGTATATCAGAACCTTTTTTATGACACCATTTACCAGAAAAAGAAATACAACTTCAAGAAAATTCTATGTACCAGACAGCAGCAAAACAAGTTTGGCAGGCTGATCAGCTGAAATCCACCAGAGCATCTCTACTTCAGTGAGGTCATCACAAACACAACCTCTGGTCTCAGTTGCAGAAGTGACTTTATCCACCTACCATCGGGTTGGCAGTTCCAGTGTATTGGTGTATTGATTCGTGAGCAACAAGCATGCAAGAAAATTTCAATATTTATCATTAACAAGAATGTCAAAATATAGATTAAAAATTTAGAGTATACATATGAAAAAATGCTCAACATTTCTCATCATAAAGGGAGATATATCAAAACCACAATGAGATACCACCTAGTCCAAGCCAGAATGGCAAAGATTAAAAAAAAAAAAAATGATGTGCTTATGGGGATGTGGTGATAGGGGAACTCTCCTATACTGTTGGTGAGAATATAAATTGGTCCAGCCACTATGGAGAACAATATGGAGATTCCTCGAAGATCTACAAATAGAACTACCACATTATCCAGCAGTTCCACTCCTGAGGACAAGGGAATGCTCAATCAGAAAAGTGCTTGCACATCTATGTTTATTGAGGCATTATCACAATTGCTAAAACATGGAATCAACCCAAATGTCCATGAACAGATGAATGGATTGGAAAAGTGTGGCACATATGCTCTATGGAATACTACTCAGCCATAAAAAAAAAAAATCCTGGCATTTGACAGAAAGTGAATGAATATGGAAAATTTACTGCTGAGTGAAGAAAGGCAGGTTATGAAAGAGAGACATTGTACATCTATACTTAATATATAACAACTATCTATACTCTATGGCAGAAACTGAAAGATTACAGGAAAAAGAAGCATGGAAAAAGGTTATAGATACTGGAGACAGTATGAGAAGAAGGTGGAAGATGGAGGGAAAGTGTGAGGAAAGAAATTAAGGAGAGAAATAGAGGGACAAGATATTTATAGGACACGGAAATGGATCATTGTCTGTTGATGATAACATGTGTAGTATCCTTTACTGGACTGGTATGAGGTGTATTCATGTTGGGTAAATCCGCTTTACAAGCTAAGTGATGTATAGTTATTGAATGTATAAAGTAAAATAAATAAAGATCTCATTAACAGCAACAAAAAAAACAATTTAAAGAAGAAATACATATCACAAAAGAGGTCCAAGATTGATACAAGGAATAGATTATCAAAAATTTTCTCAAAACGGTATGTAAAAACATTAAAGACATCTTAGATAAAATTTAAAACATATCAAGAGTATGCCTATCACAATGCCATTCCCTGCTCTTGAGGAATGATATACCTTCTTTTTTATTTATTCTTAATTTCATCAAAAATAATTTTAATAAGTATATGCATCCCAGCAGGCACTCAGGAGCTAGAGAAACAACGATGAATAGGAAACAGTCTGTAGACTACTCACAAGTAGAAAAAGGACATGCTTAGAATGTTCATGAAAAAGTGATCAGGATGCCTACCCAACCTGGGAAATGCCATGAAAGGTAATAACTAAATGTTGAGTCAAGGTGAAGAGAAGGATAACGATCTCATACTTAAAAAGCAGCCACTGTGGAGTATTGAATTCAGACTTTGTCCTATGGAGAATAGAGAATCCACATGTATTAGAATTTCTGATAGATAACTTTTGTTGTAAAAATTACAGAACTAGAGACAAAGACAAAAAAGCTAAAAGCAACAGAAAAAGTTATAGTCTGCCAGTTGCATTCTCCAAAAAGATCATAATTGTATAAACTGAAATGACCCATTATCTCACTTGTTCTTAAAATCAACTCTGCCACTCTAACCACTAGAATTATACTAGGAATAACTGAAAAGATATAAGGGTGGCCAGACACCTTTGGGGTGTTTGGGGATAAACTACTTGTTGAATACTTTACAATTGACAGTATGAGGAAACAGGGCCCTAGAGTTCTCGCTATATTCTCAAAGAACTAGGTTCACTTGTTACTTCAGATCTCCATAAGATCCATATAACAATCTCAGAAGGTCTAAGAACCCAGATATCCAATGGGAACAGGAATTTCACAGAACCTCAAAAACTCCTGTGTTCTTAAAATAAAATCCCATTAACAAAAATAGAGATGGGTTAAAATAAAATCCCATTAACAAAAAGTAGAGATGGGGGGGTAATAAATTGAAGACTGGATGGGAAGAAAGAAGCAAGGAAGATGACAATATAAAGTTAGATAACTTTTTGAAAGGAAAAGGGAAAGGTTGAGAGTAGAGAGGGAAGCAGAGTTAATGAGGTGCCTCTGTCGGTCTCCTAATGGAGTAGACCTGAACATACCTGCAGACTGAGAGGAAATCCAATAGAGAAGGAAAAAGGAGCAAGATCCTGGAAGAAGCAGGCAGAATAAATTAAGGGAACAATAGAAGGAACATGGCATACTGTGAGACTGGAGAAAATAAACTAAGATGTAGAAAAACTAATGAATGCAATAGAGTTGGAGAAGCAAAAAGAATGGGAAGACAATAGAATTAACTTTAATGTAATCAATTTTCATCATAACCTCAGCCCCCTCCAGTCAAAGTAATACTTCCCAGATGGCTACCTCCATGTCTCTGTCAGAATAAATATCATGTGTCCTGGCAAGACTTTCACTCCCTCTTTCTTCAAGCTGTGACACCCTCTGATGCCCTTGACCTCTCAAACTTTCTGGCCGTATGAACATGCCTTTCAACCAGGTTCATGTCAGTGCTCTGTCAGTGTCAAGTCTGAGTCATTCCTCAATCTCTGAATGCTATGTACACCCCCAGTTTTGTTCCCATCTTGCATCCTGTTCTGACTCTTGAAACCTTTTCATTATATAATACATTTTCTGGAATTCAGTCAGCCATTACAAAAACCTTCATATCCTTCCTCTCCGTTCAATATCCCCTTTATCTTCTAGTTCTAACTAAAATATGATCTCTCTGAAAGACTATTTCTGAAGAAGTAAAATTCAGTAGTCTCAGTTTTGTCTCACACTCCTGTACCAGTGAGAGTCTGGAAGTAGAGTAAGGGTTCTCCCTATTTTCAGACTTTCTTTCCTCTTACCTAAACACTTCCAGTTTTGAATCTTATTTCTCCAGTCTATGCCATTCCTCTCCTGGCTCTGTTCATTGCCCATAACCCACAAAAAAACGTTCTTTCCTCGGAGATTTAGATCCTGATTTAGTGTCACTTTAACATTATGATTTTTATAATACCCAATATTATATCCCAAGGTATAGTTTTTCTAATGTTGTGTTTCCTTGACTTCTCATTTCCCTTGCCTCTCACTTCTTTAGCCTAGACCAATAGCTGCAAACCCTTCACAATTTCAAAGTTTTTTTCATTCTTTGATCACCACTGTCTAACTCTCCATTATACTCTAGTATTCCAATTCCACCATTTCTTGGACCCCACCAGTTTTAAAATATGTTGATAATTCTAAAATTGTATTTTCCCACATTTGTCTTCTTAACCAGATATGTTTACCCACCTGCATCTTTACCCTTTTCCATGGTCTTCAGTCCTGCTAATATGTTCCTATTAAAACCAATCCTCGCTTAAATAGTTTGACTTTAATTTATTCACCTAGGTCACATTAAATGCACAAATAATATGCATTTAGGCTGTCAGCAAAGTCATGATAAATGCTAAGTACTATTCCAGAGACTGATGATATGACTGTGAATAAAATTTCCTGTCTTCATGGAGCTTACATACTAGCAAATGGAGATAGACAGTCAACAAATTTGCAAAGTGTATAATACCTTCAAAAGTGCTATGGAAATCTGCTATAAGGCTATTGCAATAAACCATGGGAGAGGAAGTGATGGGTTGAACTTGGGTTGCTACAGGGATAGTGGCAAGAATAGTTTAGATTTTGACTATATTTTAAAAGAAAAACTTAGAATTTGCTGGCAAATTACAGGTGAGGTATGAGACATAAACCAGAATCAAGATGAGTATATTTTTTACCTATATAACTTCAAGAAATAAAGCACTACTAACTGAAACAGGGAAGATAATAGTTGAAGCCGACTTCAGAATAAGGATCAAATCAGATATGTTCAATGTACATCCAAGTGGAAATGTATGAGAGCTATTTAAAGGAAAGCCCAGGCTGAAGATATATTGCTAAGGTGGGAACCTGTAAATGGCATTTAAGACCATGAGGCTAGATGAGATCACCAAGGGGGAAAACACAAATAGGAAAAGAAGAGGTCCAGAACTGAGTCCTACAGACTTTAACAGTAAGTGAAACAGCAGCTTGGACCTGATCAGAAACAACAAATTGAAGGGACCAGCAGTTAGCATAATGGCTATCTCGCTAGACTCCCATGTAGTTGACCACGGTTCGCATCCCGGACCCGGTGGCTTAAAACTCAGGCCAGGCGCATGTGCGTGTGTGCCCAAGATCCTGAGAGGAGAATGGAGGAGAAGGGATTGCAGTATGGCCATCCCCCCTGGGAGGGGCGGGGATTTCTCACTTTCTGTCTCTCTGTCTCTGTCTGTCTGGCAAGCGCACGCGCCCTATAGCAAAAACCTCTCAAAAAAAAAAGAAGCAACAAATTGACAGACCAAACCAAGAACCACACTTGAATATAAATCCATGAATTAATTTGTACTGTGCCATATTTTGCCTGTTACATGGTCATTCTTTCAAGGGATGCTAAACTGCCTAATAAACAAAGAAAGTGGACTATAGCATTTTTTTTTTTTTTTTTTTTTTTTGCTATCGCATGCGTGCACTCACCAGAAAGACAGAGACAGACAGAAAGCGAGAAATCACCTCCAGTGGGGATGGCCATGCCACAATCCCTTCTCCTCCATTCTCCTCTCAGGATCTTGGGCACACACACATATGCGCTTGGCGTGAGTTTAAGTTACTGGGTCCGGGACTCAAACCGCAGTCAACTACATGGGAGTCCAGCAACGTAGTCATTAGAGTTCATATTTGAAAGTAGTTTTGGAAGAAGGATATTCTGGGTGTAAGGAAAGTAGGGATAGTGGAGAGAATACAGCAAATGAGCAAGCATGGAGTTCAATGCACATAGGCAAGGAAGAAGGACCCCTAACTTCAATAGACAAGTTCTCTGTGGCTCAGAAAACAGATTGGATACAATGGTAAGTATTTGAGAGAATGACTTGGCGTCATAATATGGTATGTGAGAGTTTAATAATTAGAAGTATGGTAACTCTAAATAGTTAATAAGCTTACTCTTTGACCTTAGACTAAACATATGAGAGAAAAGGCATGGACATTGTGAAGGTCAAAGTACTGAGAGACAAGAATGTTACTGGGCCCTCCTTTTGAAAAGGAAAGCCAATCTGGATGATGGCAAGACAGACTGATAGCATGGTGGCATAATTTTGAATAAATGTAAAGCTGGAATTAGAAGGGTCCCTGGAACAGAATATGGGAGACACTAGATTATTCACTAGAGATTTTCTTTTTGAGTGTGAAATCAAAGAAAATTGGATGTCCTCGTGGGAGATTTCTTCCAATTCCTAGAAAGCCTTATGAACTAACCTTGGACCACTTATCACAAGGTGTAACATCCTGGTAACTAAATCACTTACACTTTCTAGAAACAAAGCATATTCCTTAGAGGATATAAAATATATAGGCAAGCCATCTGAACCAATTTTTTAAAATTTCTTTCTGCCTTTAAAAACAGCTATTCTTCTTCTCATTGCAGTCATATCACAATTCCCAGGTGGCAGTTTATCATAGAAAATAATAAATCACTGCTTTCCTTTGTAGGAAGGAACATTAGATCCCTTGTGAGATTTAGGAAGCCCACTGGTCTAATTAGTGAAATAGAATACAACAGATTTGGTGGATGTATTATTATCTAGAATGATTTCTTTACATGACTAATCTCATCAATATCATGATAGAATGGTGAGTGGTTTGGGCAAGAAAATTATTGAGAATGGTTCAGATAATCCATCCTAGAATTTCATTTGGGTAAACAATAAAGATAATCCTTCAGAACCAAGGAAGAAGAGATGAAATTGTAACCTTGTCCTCAGGTTCTGTTTGTAGGCCTTCTGACATGATGACTCCAGGTCTAGCTAAGTTTCTGTCCAAATGAAATAGAAATACTGGTATATAAAAGTCTTAGTTATAAGCACCCCATGGTTATGAAATACATATAACCATTATAAACAAGTAGCTTAACTTCTAAAGCATATATAATGATAAAAATTTACTTCTTACATAATTTATATAATTTAGTGCTATTTAAATCTCTTAAATACAAATCAAGAATTGATACATCATGAACTATAGACTGTTTAAAGGTTGACAGCTATCATTTTACTGAATTAATGGAAATTAAGTATAAATGAAAACTGCTGCTTAATGAATAAGGTATACATTTATAACAATACCCGCAAAGGATTTTCTAAACATAAGCACACACTGACAAGGAAGGCCATGGAAAAGAATTAATTTCCTTCTACTTTATTGTTATATATTCCTATAAAACATCCATACCCTACATAAAATTTCTTCACCAATGTAAGAGTACTTTTTAGAAATTTTTTAATTGAACCTAATTAAAATCTAATAGAAAAAAATCTAATAGAATTAAATGCTTATTCATCTTTTTTGGGTTGCTATGGGAGAGTAACAAGATCCTCTTCACACACATATCCTCAGACGAATTATCACAAAAAAGGGCAATAGTTTCGTATATTCTCTTTTAAGGTACTGGTACCCTGTTACCATGGGGTTCTTTTTACCATGTTTACTTAGTATCCTTTAATCTTACCATAGATCTAATATCCCTCTGCAAAAAATTCCAGTTGAAAATGGATTTGAAATTACACCAACCATACTACGCGGCATTGATATGAAGAGCCACACATTAGTGGGCATGCTGTTGAATCCCTTGCTTAAAAAAAGGAAAAAAAAAAATACTTTTATTGCATGCTGTGGCCAAGTTCCAATGGAGCCCAAAAATGAATTGCTATGGTGATGAAAAATCATTTTCCACTCAAAGCAGAAACAGATGCATGTTAATAGCATTGCACTTGTTAATTGCCAATTAACACTTTCAGTTGTCAATGCCGATTAAAGATTGTAGTTCCTATCCTTGCGAAGCTATTTTAATAATAGAAATAAAAGCCAAAATGATTAAAATCTTTTCCTAAATATCCTTTGAAATGCTCAAAATCTCTAAGCCTGTCCCCTTCTCACCGGACAACCTAATCATAGAGAAATGTTTCCCCCATGCCACTCAGGCTAACTGCTCCTTTGCTCGGTTTTACACTGCAATGTCTCCTTTCTTAAATTTCCCTGAAAGTTCTCTTCCTTCCGATGTTGACACCCACACTCACAGATGGCCAGTAGCCTCCTGTTGAGAAGAGGCATGACAGGGTATCTTAGCATTAACACTATGCCAAGTGCAGTCCTGAGCGTTTTCTTTACCCAGTAAGAAGCAGATTTGCCTTTATCAGCTCACCCTTTCCTTTAACTGTAGATAACATTTCATTTCCATAGACTGACAAATTTATCTACACCCGGGAAGCTTGCCCCAATACCCTCTTGCAGCAAACACCACGAGCACAGGGCACTGCTTTTTATAGTTATTGAAAGCATTAAGCAAAGACTTCCTTTTACCTGAGGTGTGGTCTGAAAGCTCCCTGCTAAGATGCACGAGTTCATTTGGAAGTAATTGTTCTCGCAGTCACTCAGAAGCCCCTTTTCTGGAAGCATTGATTCATCACATAAGGGAGTAGGCAAAGCAATGACTGAGGTGGGAAGGGAGCCTCTTACTAAAACAACACACACACATACCACATGCACACACTCACACAGAAAAAAAAGACATTCTAAAAAGAGGTAAAGCAGAATCCTCTCTGAATTGAAGGTTGTTAGCTCCAAAGAATAGATTTATGCTTCAACAATTTTTAGATTTAGAACTTCATGAGAGGTCATACTGCTGAAATGGAATCAGAAATAAAAATGACCACCTACATGAGTTTGCCCTCTTTTCTTCTCATGCATGGATTCCAATTATATATTCTACAAAAGGGAGAGGGAAGAAGCCAAATTGCACAGCAGCAAGAACCTGATTGAAGGGCCATAGCATGCCCCAATCTCAGTGATCTGTTGGTCACACTCACAGAGACACATAGAGGTACAAATACCTACAAACATGGTGCCTGATCAAGCACTAGAAAACATACTGATTCACTTTTTAATCATATTTGTATTGGTCCTTGGTACATAAATTGCAAACAATGATACAGGAGCATCTTTAGGGACTGAAGTTTTGCTTTTAACAGATTTTGATCTAAAATAGAGCTTGCAAACAAATAGTTGTCGAAACAAAATTCCACTCCAAGATTCCAAGGCTATAGTGAATGTCCTGACTATACACAAAGCTCAGAACTTCACATGTGAAATTGATTGGAGTCTTCAGCTTTCAGTACTTCTATTTTCTAAGCATTGATTTTTCTTTCCAAAACTGTAATATCTATATTTGTGCTTTGGCAGTGAAATATGTAGTGACAAAAGAGTTAGGTATAGACCAAAGGCTGTGGGAAAGAATGAAAGTTTTATTTTAGGGACCCAGGTCATGACTTTTAATCTTTTCAACATTATCAGAAGCCTGAATTCATGAAACATTGTGAGTACAGTAATTGGTATAGTGGTTCTAATAGCACAGAGGAAAAAACTATCCAAACAATAGTATATTTTGATGTAGAATGTGGTCCAAATTTGTGTTGTATTATACGACTAAGCAAATTATGTGCCTTCTTCTATGTTATGTATATTTATGGATACGCGGAAGAAAATATAATACCATCCTTCCCTCAAAACTGTGCAGTACAATTGAGAATATGAAACAGGCATACAAGATCAGCTGCAGTGACACACTCTGCTAAGACACTACTATGCTTAGCACGCTGGAACCACCTGAAAGTCTAGGGTTTAACTCCTGGTCAATCTAAAGAGCAGGTATAGCGGAATCCTTCCACAATCCTAGCAGCTTTTGAGGTTGAGGCAGAAGGATTGTGAGCCCCAGACTGGCCTAGGCAAAGGAGCAAGACTCTGTCTATAAAAGAGCCTGGTATGGGGCCAGCAGGTGGTATGGAGGTTGAGGAGTTGGATTCCTACGTAACTGACCATGATTTGAGTCCCAGACCTGACAGCTTGTTTTCTTACTTTCTCTGTCTCTGGTGAACACACGTGCCCTACAGCAAGTTAAAGAACAATAAATAAAATTAGAAAAATAATAATAATTAAAGTCTTATAGGGTGATGCATGCCTGCAGTTCCAGCTGGCAAGCTTAGGTACGATGGTAACACAATGAGATCCTATCTTAAAAGCAAGCAAACAAACAAACAAAAAAGAAAAACAAGTAAAAAAAAGTAGGTGTATAAGGGGACTTCAAAAAATTATGAAAAAATGGAACCAGCAGTTAGTGTAATGGCTATGTCGCTGGACTCCCATGTAGTCGACCGTGGTTCACGTCCAAGACCCAGTGGCTTAGACTCACGCCAGGCGCGTGTGCATGCGTGCCCAAGATCCTGAGAGGAGACTGGAGGAGAAGGGAGTGTGGCGTAGCCATCTCCGCTGGGGGGTGATTTCCTGCTTTCTGTCTCTCTGTCTCTGTCTGTCGAGCGCACGCGCCCTATAGCAAAAACCTCTCCCCCCAAAAAAAATTATGAAAAAATGGAATTACAGTATGGATTTATTTTGGTATAAAAAGAATTTTGAAATCCATGCACTTTTTTAAATTTTTACGTTTTTTATTAAATTTTCTTTTATACATTCAATCACATTATTTAGCTTACAAAGTATTTCAACATGTGAACATTTCTCCCTAGTCCAGTTGATAAAACCATATCTTCAACGGATAATACATTTCATTATCCCATTAATGCTTCGCCTCCCTATTTTCTTCTAAATGTCCTTCCTCAGACCATGCACTTTTTTATAATATGCATTTGCCATGAACTTGTTGAAGAGATCATGTACAAATAATAGAAAAAAAGTGCTTTTAGTAAGTTCCATATTGCAGAACCCAGGAGAGGCAGAAGGGAACAGAACAGGCCTTCTTCAAGAGACAGCTCCATGACTCCTGCAATCTAGCCATTTTGGGGGAAATGGAGAAATGAAGAGGTCCCACTGATAATTCGGCCTCTAGCATACCAAACTCGTGTGGTAGGAAGACCCCTTTCAGGCCTCCTCTCTCTGTATCTGTCTTTATCTCTCTGTCCCTCTGTCTCTGTCTCTGTATCCTCTCTCTTTTAAATTTTTGCTTTTTAGAATTATTTTAAGGTGAGGTATCTTTCTGGGCCTGTTGGCCCCTTCTAGCCCTTTATCTTGTTAATAATTCCCTCTTCCCCTCCCAACACAGGAGAGGAGGAAGGGAACAGAACAGGCTCTTTTATTTTTTTATTTTTATAATCCTTATAATCTTCTTTATATTACATTGGATTACATATAACTTTACAGTATATTACATTGTTTTTTCAAAAGGGAATGCCATGCATGTCAGTCGATACAGAGACATTAATCTCCCTGTTTCATCATTCAATATCTTTTCTATGTTTTTCCCAAACATTATTATTCTAATTATTTTTTTAAAACAGTCAATCACTATTTCTCATTTTGCTTGTAAAAAGATTTTACCCATCATGAAATGCTTCTCAGACCAATCCAGTTGAGAATACTATACATGTCATCATCAACAGGTAATAAGCCAAATCTGTTTCTCACTAACATCCTGCCTCTCTATTGTTCTCTTGCTATCTTTCTCTATCCTCTTCTATTCACTCCCCCCCATTCCACACTGTCCTATTCTCGTTAAGTACCTTCACTGCTTTTATGTCCTCCAATTTTTCGCTCTCTACCAGAGTGCAGATAGTCGGTATATATTGAGTGGATACATACAATATCTTTCTTTCATAGCCTGGCTTACTTCACTCAGCAATAGATCCTCCATATCTGACCACTTTCTATCAAATGCCAGGATCTTGTTATTTTTTATGGCTAAGTAGTATTCCATAGAGTATATATACCACACTTTTCCAATCCATTCATCAGCTTGTGGACATTTAGGTTGGTTCCATGTAGAACAAGCCTTCTACAAGAGACAGCTTCATGGCTCCTGTGATCTAGCTATTTTGTGCAGTGCTTGTGCGCCACACGGTTTTCTAATTTTTGGATTTTATTGAAATTTTTTGAATATTAATTTTTTTAGTTTTATTTAAGTTTTTCTCTTCATTTTTTTTTCTTTTTCTTTGTTTCTTGTCTGTTTTTTTTGCTATTGTTGCTATTGTTCCCCTCTCTCTGTTTCCTTTTCTACTCACTCCTCAACCCTCAGATTGGACTTCCAAGTTTGGGAAGAAACCGACCATCCACCAGATGACTAGAAATCGCTTCAGGACCACAAGAAATATGGGAAAGCAGGAAAATACCTCTCCGCCAAGGGAAAAGGATAACTCCTCTTCATTCACACACAGTTCAATGGAAATCATGGAAATGTCTGATAAAGAATTTAGAACATTCATAATGGCGAAGCTAACAGAGATGGAAGAGAAGAGACAATGAACTGCTGAAGAGAAAGGAGGAAGAAGTTGAAGAATTCCAGGAGG